CACAGTGGCTCAGTGGTTAGCACTGCTGCCTCATAGTGCCAGAAACCTGGGTTCAATTCCACCTTTGGGCAACTGTGTGGAGTTTGCATATTCTCCCTGTGTCCACATGGGTTTCCTCAGGGTGCTCTGGTTTCCTCCCACAGTCCAAGGGCCATGGCCATATTGCATAGCGGAACAAACTTGATGGGCTAGGTATATTGGCCATGCTAAGTTGCCTGTAGTGTTCAGGGATGTGTGGGTTATAGGGGGATGGGTCTGGATGGAATGCTCTGAGGGTTGGTGTGGACCTGTTGAGCCAAAGGGCCTGTTTCCACACTGTAGGGATTCTATGATCTATGAAAGTTTTACTTCAATAGCTCCAGGGATAATGAATACAGAGAAGCTAAAGTTGCTCTTCTCAGAGCTAAGAAGCCTGAAGAGATTTGATGGAGATGTGTAAAATTAGAAAGGGTTTCAGTAGAATTAAAAAACCTGTTTCCAAAGGCTGAAAGATCAATAATCAGATGACCCAGATATAATTTAATTTAATGTGTTTGGCAGAAGTACCAGAGGTGACACAGGAAAAATATTTACACAAAAACAGCAGTTAGGATTTGGAATGTGCATCCCCCCTGATATTGAAGTGGATACAGATTCAAATTAGTGTTCATATAGAAATTGGCTAAATAATTGGAGGAAAAATGAGGGAATCAACAGATCAGGGGCAGGGGAGGTGACAGTGGTAGGACTGGCTGGATTTTTCTTCATGAGACCTGGTGGTAAACTGATGGGCTGAGTGACCTCCTTCTGTGCTGCACTATTCTATTGGACCCAAAATGTATCACAAAGATAGTCAATAGAAGCAGTTGAAGGTTAAAAGCAGGAGAGGAGTTAGATATGGGGCCCAGAAATAGGAGAAGCATGATTTGTCTTCCTGGATCTGGGCTCATCAGCTTCTCAATCTAAATTAAGAATGGACAATTACTGCTAAGCAATTACACAACAATTGAAGAAACAGGTTGAAAGGTAATTCTAATTCTTTACACTCCTATTTTTATTAAACTCATGTGGAGAACAATGTCAAATACTTTCTGAAAGTCCCTTCCTAGACTTGACAAGTCAGCCAAGACCTTGACAAGACTTACCCTTATAAGCCCATACTAATTCTCCTTGATTAGCTTGATTTTGGCAAAGTGGTCAGTAATGTGCTTTGAGGGTATAATTGTGCTATATTTTTCATTGTTTTAACTTGTACTGCAGAGAGAAATGCAACACACAATGCAATGACCTTTCTGTACATTTCCAACATTACATTGGCTGTGAAGTAATTAGGTTCAGTCCAACCTCAGTTATGTTCTGGCTTACCATACTCTAACCTCAAATTCAGGTTCTTGAGGCAATTGAGCAACTCATTTACAAGGTTTAAAATACGAATAGCCCTTGCAGAGATGGAAATCAGGCAAGCTTTTTGTTCTGGTCACACCTCAATAACACTGGCTGCTGGGAAGCAGGAAACTGGTGTACTGAATGTGATTGAGCCTGGACTTTGGATGCGGGTACCACCAGGCTTCAACATCGTGGTCCATGTTTGGATTCTGAGAACACTGATTTTCTAGATTCTTGAACAATATACCATGAAGTCAACTAACTGCTATAGAGCCACTTTTAGATGGGCATGCTTATAGCCACACATTAGCAAGACCTTGCAGCTGCATGTAGCTTCCTATCGCCATCTGGTGGTCAATAATGTTATTGCTGTGGAGTTTTCTTTACAGAGTAGACAAGGCTTTCTTTAAAATGCTGAACAGTTCTTTCCTGGTATCAGTGAATTGCTGTCTTTCTGGTGACTGAATGAATATTAACTAAGTTGTGTTCTTCATCTGCACAAATTAGATCCTTGGAGGAAAACTCTCTAATGAATCCCTTCCTACTCACAATGACTATTTTCACTGGAGCGTCAGAGGCTGAAGGGGCGGACCTGATAGAAGTACAGTCGGCTCTGCTATAAAGCGTGTTCCGGCAACGCAAATTGGCTATAACACAACTGATGAATAGGGGAACGCTATTGCTAAAACATGAACTTGTGTTGGCTGTAACACGATTCCATCGGTGCGCGAAGGAGTATGCATTGACATCACATGCCTGCCTTTAGTGCTAGCAGTGGCTGGTTAGCTGGTTTTAAAAACTGGTATGCTTTTCATAATGTAAAGTCATGTGGTGAAGCTGCCAGTGCAGACGAGGAGCATGAGATGGCATTTCCTCCCATAGTAAGAAAATCAATTGGCTACAACTTAGATCAAATTTTTAATTTGAATAAGATAGGTTTATACTGGAAGCAAATGCCATCAAGTGTCTACATTTCTACAAATGAAGCACATGCTCCACGCTTTTAGGTGGCAAAGGATCGTATGACTGTGTTGCTGGGTTCCAATGCCAGTGGAGACTTAAAGCTTAAGCCTGTGATGGTGTACCACTCTGCCAACCCACGAGCCTTGAAAGGTTACCTTAAGTCTAGTCTAGGCATCTACTTTAGGTCAAGCAAAAGAGGTTGGATGATGGGGCAAATTTTTTCTGACCTTGTTGTTGATGTTTTGGAAGAAGATTTCAGAAAATATTGTAGGAAAAAAAATTTGGATTTCAAAATTCTCCTCATCCTGGATAATGCACCAAGCCATCCTCCCACCATTGGTGAGCTTTCTGAAAACATCAAAGTGCTATTTCCACCCCCAAACACAACCTCGCTCCTTCAACCCATAGACCAGAGTGCAATAGTAGCTTTTAAAGCTTATTGTTTAAAGCACACACTTAAGAGGCCGATTGCAGCCACTGTGGGGGATAAGGACAGGGTTCCTCAATTTTGGAAGAGCTTTAACCTCAAAAATACAATTGACATTATCATGGAGGCTTGGGCCGATGTCAGCAAGGACTGTTTGCTTGCAGTTTGGTGGAAGCTTCTCCCAGACTTTTTTTTTGAAGATTTTAAACGTTTTGAACATTGTGTTGATCTTGCAAAGCAAGTTGGATTTGAAGAAGTGGAGAGTGAGGATGTTGAAGAGCTGCTTGTGTCCCACTGTGAAGACCTCTCTACAGCTGATCTACAACAACTTGTCACTGAGTGTGAAGTGGAAGCTGGAGATGAAGAAGATGAAGTCCAGGATAAAGCACCACAAGAGCATTCCACTTCTGTTTTGTCTTCTATCCTGATTTTATCCTAAATTTTTGATTAAAACAATTTAGATCCCTTTAATTTTGATAGCTTCAATTAGTTTTGTGCTACAATTCATGTTATAGAGAGGTGCTGTGCCATATAACATGTAGTGTGTTATGATTTCTGAGAAAAAAACAAAAATAGTGGCTTCCTCCTACAATTGTTTTTCTCATTTCGTCTTTCTCATAATTTCTGTGTCAAATGCTGTGTCTTGCTTTCTGTCTTCCACCTTTTCTTTTGCCTGTTATGCAAAAGTTTTTAGGAATTTTGTATTATGGTGCCTACTTGTTCTTTCATCTCACCCTTCTACTGTTTGTCTGGGACTTGGAACTGTCAGTGGGAGTAGGTGTTCAGAGCACAGGTGTAGTGTAGGGTTTGGGCAAAGAACAGGAGAGTTTGGGTATGTTGAACTAGAGAGGGAAGACTGTTTGTAAAGTTGGGGGATGTTAACTTTTAATTGTGTGGATTGATCAGAATTTTAAGACTTAGGATGACAATCTAGACTAATAATAATGGCAACAATGCGCATGCATATAGCATCACCCAAGGTACTCTACAAGAGTGAGTCAAAAATGTAAGACAAAAAATGAAACTGAAACAAAGTTGAGGATGTTGGGATAGAAAAGGTGCGTTTTATGCAGCTTCTTAAAGGAGAGAGATAGTTATCCAACAAATGAAGTGGGAAATGCACAGGAGGCTGGAGGAATTTATTGAAATAGGCCCTGATGAGATCTGAAAACAAGAATGAGATTTTTCTTTTTGAGGCACTAATGGTCCCAGAACCAATTCCAGAGATGAGTGAATGGGTAACACATCATATAAATGAAAGAGAGATAACAAGGTGTAGAGCTGGATGAACACGCCAGGCCAAGCAGCATCAGAAGAGCAGGAAAGCTGATGTTTCGGGTTTCGACCCTTCTTCAGAAATGGGGGAGGGGAAGGGGATTCTGAAATAAATAGAGAGAGAGAGGGGGAGGTGGATGGAAGATGGATAAAGGAGCAGATAGGTGGAGAGGAGACGGACAAGTCAGGGAGGCGGGGATGGAGCCAGTAAAGGTAAGTGTAGGTGGGGAGTTAGAATGGGGGTTGGTCAGTCAAGGGAAGACGGACAGGTCAAGGAGGTGGGGATGAGGCTGGTAGGTAGGAGGTGGCGGTGGGGGTTGAGGTGGGAGGAGCGGATAGGTGGGCGAAAGGACGGACAGATTAAGGAGGCGGGACGAGCTGGGCTGGTTTTGGGATGCGATCGGGGGAGGGGAGATTTTGAAGCTTGTGAAGTCCACATTGATACCAGTGGGCTGCAGGGTTCCCAAGCAAAATATGAGGTGCAGTTCCTGCAACCTTCGGGTGGCATCGTTGTGGCACTGGAGGAAGCCCAGGATGGACATGTCGTCCAAGGAATGGGAGGGGGAGTTGAAGTGGTTCGTGACTGGGAGGTGCAGTCGTTTGTCGCGAACCGAGCGTAGGTGTTCCACAAAGCGGTCTCCAAGCCTCCGCTTGGTTTCCCCGATGTCAGGCTTGTGGATTTTGGCAAGGAGGTAGAAATGGGCGGTGTGGGGTTGGGGAATGATGAAGTTGGAGGCTGTGGGTGGGAGGTCACCTGAAGTGATGAGATTGTGGATGATCTTGGTGGTCGGGGGTGTGGTCATGATCAAGGGGACGGTAGGAGGAGGTGTCAGAGAGCTGGCGTCTGGCCTCGGTGATGTAGAGGTTAGTGCACCATACTACAACTGCGCCTCCCTTGTCCACGGGTTTTATGTCAAGTTTGTGGATTTTGGGAAGGAGATAGAAACAGGTGGTGTGGGGTTGAGGAACGATGTCAGGTTTGTGGATTTTGGGAAGGAGATAGAAACGGGCGGTGCAAGGTTGGGGAACAAGACCCGACCGCATCCCAAAACCAGCCCAGCTCGTCCCCGCCTCCCTAACCTGTCCGTCCTTTCTCCCACCTATCCATTCCTCCCACCTCAACCCCCACCGCCTCCTCCTACCTACCAGCCTCATCCCCGCCTCCTTGGCCTGTTCGTCTTCCCTTGACTAACCAATCCCCATTCTAACTCACCACCTACACTCACCTTTACTGGCTCCATCCCCACCTCCTTGACCTGTCTGTCTCCACTCCACCTATCTGCTCCTTTATCCATCTTCCATCCACACCCCCCCCCTCTCTATTTATTTCAGAATCCCCTTCCCCTCCTCCTCTTCTGAAGAAGGGTCCAGACCCGAAACGCCAGCTTTCCTGCTCCTCTGATGTTGCTTGGCCTGCTGTGTTCATCCAGCTCTACACCTTGTTATCTCAGATTCTCCAGCATGGGCAGTTCCTACTATCTCCATATAAATGAAAGCCCTTTTTTCCTATCTGTAACATTAATAGATAATTGGATGAGTAGTGTTGTTATTACTGTAAGTAGGACCCTACTTTTTCTTCTGGAGAAATATGTGGGTTTAGAATTTGTCTCATCACACGCTTTGGGGAACTGGGCAGAAATACCATCCAAATTTCATCAGAGGAAAGCCCTTGGCTGACCTGGAACTGTGCGCACGCAGCTACTGAGGGTGTAGTGACGTTTGGTATTGTAGTAACGCGCCATGGCAACGGCCGAGTCCATGGCAACGACAATGGATGGGCGGACGGAAAGCGTCTGGGGATGTAACGAAAGTGGAGCGGGAACTGAGAAGCAGCGTGCCAGTCGGAATGGGATGCGGCACTTCTAGAGCGGTTTCCACACAACCGGAGACCGGAACTGAGGACAGTCTAGAAAGAAAGCGCAAGGTAACTCGGCCTCGGACAGAGAGCAAGTAGCTCCATTGGTATGGAGTCACCAGGCCAGGTCTCTGAAGGGTGGGCAAGGCACTGGGCATCACTGTGTCTTTGTCTCCAAAATGATAAATTGATTTGTAAGGGTAAAGCATTACCGGGAACATGCAAAAAAAGACAGTCGTTGTCCCTATATGTCTCTGTTTCTCCCATCTCACCGCCCCAACCCACAGACAACCACTCCCTCCAACAATAATAAGGCGAGGATACAGTTCAGGGGGTCTATAGTATATGCCTTTTGAAAACAATACAGTCATTACAATTAGTTTCACTAACTGGCCTTAACGTTGTAATGTCTTTATAAAAATTGACTGTTTTATCTATACCCATTCTTTAAGAAAGTATACACATTTGTATAACATATAAATGAATGTGTCTAAATATGTATGTTTCTTTGAATTCTTTTAGATAGCATATTAATGCTTATGTACTGTGTATCTATTAATATGTCTATATATGTGATTATGTTTGTATAACTGTGTATATATGCTTGCCTTATATATTTTGTCTAATATTTAGGTGCGTAATTTCTTATGAAGATTGTGTGACTGCAAGGACATACATACAGTACATGTATAAACTACATATATCTCAAACCCTACTTTGGTGACAAAAAGGAGCCAAGAGGCAAATTGTGTGCAAGTCATGTGGTGACATATTTTCATATTTACGTCAACATGTTGCATACTTGAAAACATTGGAGGCATAAAGGCGTGGGCAAATACATTTTCATGATGCTCATGCCTCTTTAACTATCCAGATGACAAAAACTACAACATCTTTCCTCAGCATGCTTACAGTTTGCAAAACAAATTAGAGCCAATTTTATCCTGCTCCTGTCCCAATTACACCTAAAAAAAACAGGACAGTAGAAGGAACCAAATTGCAAATGAAAATAAACTGCAAACTTGCCCGTTGAATTAAAAAGATGAACAAGCACATATTTTGCTCAAACATTCCACTGATTCGATCATGAGCAGGCAAAACTGTTATTCAGTGTAACTCACTGCTTATTTACCTGGAACATAGAAAGTCGAACACGGAACAGCACAGCAACATGCAGTTCGGCCCATCATGTCTGGCCGACCATGATGCCGTTCTAAACTAATCCCATCCGCCTACACATGATCTGTAGCTCTCTATTCTCTGCCTGTTTATGTGTCTGTCAAAATGCTACTTAAATGTTGCTATGCATGTGCTTCTACTGGGCACCTACCAGCGTCTGCATAAAAAAACTTGCCTCACACATCTCCCTTAAACTTTCCCCCTCTCACCTTAATCCTATATTTGACATTTCCACCATGGGAAAAAGACTCTGACAATCCAGCCTATCTGTGCCTCTCATAATTTTATATACTTCTTTCAGGTTACCCCTCAATCTCTGTTGCTCTAGTGAAAACAATCCAAGTTTGTCCAACCTCTCCAATCCAGGCAACATCCTGGTAAACCTGGAGACAATAAGGACTTTGCATCCTCTCCAAAGCTTCCACATCCTTCCTATAGTGTGGCAACTGCACACAATATTCCAAATGTGGTCTAACTAAAGTCTTATACAGCTACATCATGACTTGTCAACTTTATATTCAATGCCCCAACTGATGAAGGTAAGCATGCTGTACGCCTTCTTTACCAACTTATCCACTTGTGTTGTCACTTTCAGGGAGCTATGGATATGCACCCCAAGATCACTCTGTATATCAATGCTCCCAAGGGATGTGCCATTTACTGTGTAGTTTCCTGTTGCATTTGACCTCCCAAAATGTATCACTTCACACTTGTCCAGATTAAATTCCACCTGCTATTTCTCTGCCTAACTTTTCAATTGATCTATACAACCGCCACCGTCTCAAAGGCAACTATGGATGTGCAATAAATGCTGGCCAGCCAGTGCTGCCCACACCCCACAAATGAGTAAAAAAAAAAAAAAAAAAAAAAATCCTGCTGCGTCCTTTGACTATCTTCCTCATTAATCAAAATTCCACTAATTTTCGTGTCATCTGCAAACTTACCAATCAGATACCTACATTTTATCCAAATCATTTATATAGATTACAAACAACAAAGGTCGTTATGGAACACTTCTGTTCATGGATCTCCAATTAGAACAGCACCCTTCCACAACTACCCTCTGTCTTCTATGATCATGCCAGTTTTGTATTCAATTTACCAACTCATCGTGGATCCTATATGGCTTAGTCTTTGGGACTTAATGCATGACAATGCATTCCTCAGTGTGCTGTTTGTCCCTTGAGGCAAGATGACCATGTTCATCATCTGGGTGTTTAGTGGATGCTAAGAATTTAGGATGCTGCTGATAATCGCGTTTTTGATGAGTTGCTGGCTTAGGACTTCCTCTTGTGTTTTCTCTCTACATCTGAAATGCACTAACTTTTGAAGGAGGCCGCAATTATTTGTTCCTGGATTTGAGCTCGATATCAAAACTCCTAAGTATAGTTTTCAGAATGTTGTAATAGAGCTTGCTTTGACTTAAGCACTCCATTGAAGATTCACTTTGGTAAGAATCTATCAAGCATCTGGCTACATGACCAATCCAACTCAGTTCTGATGGTTTCAGTATGATGTGGCTGTTTATCACATCTGCTCAGGTCGGTACCTTGCTGTCTGGTACTTAGTCCTGCCATCTGATCTTCAGAAGTAAAGTGAAGCCTCAAGTGAAAGCTGTAGTTTCTTGGCATGGCAGTGGCACGCAGTCCAGATCTCTTGTGTGTGGAGCAAAGTGGAAAGGACTATTTCTCTCAGATATTAAATTTGATAGGCAGACCTACTCTACCTTGTTCCCAGAGTAATGTTCAAAATCTGCAAAACATCGCACTTACATCGGCAATTCTTGAATGTGTCTTGTTATCAATATTGTCAAATTGAGAAAGTGTGCAGAGGCAGATACAATACTTCAGTTTTCTAAGTACTGATTGTAAATCTGCAGCATAAGCTTGTTTCCACCGTGCAGCATCAAAAGAAAATCCTCTTGCAGGAGAAATTGCAGTGCTGTTTAAAAGCTTCTTTAAGAAATTAATGCAATTACATCTCAATAGCGAAATGACCTGCTATCAAAGGAGTGTACTGCATTTTTTCCTGGCCAATGTAACTCACAGCAGAGGTCTTGTGTCACAGTGGGTGGCGACCCTACCTCTGAGCCTGAAGCTCCAGGCTAGAGTCCCACTTGTAATGGACCAGACAAGACCCTCCCAAAGTATATTATGTAGATAGCCTAGACCCTAACTTTTGTATTTTTTTAAAAGGCAAGTGTAAGGCAATGTGTTCCAGATATGATTCGATTGGTCCACCACAAAGCTTGAATCAAAACACACTTTATTTTTACAACACAGTTAAAATACAAAATAAAGAAGAATTCGCATAACTTTACTCTATTGAAATACTTAACAAGACAATGTATTATTTAACCACAAATTATCAGCTGCTCCAATATAGGCAGCATCCCATAAACACACCTTCTGGCAAAGGCACTTCATCAAAACAGTTAGGATTCTCATGTGCTGTCTTTCTCCAGTCTTGAAGAAAAAACAATCTGCCGTTATTGATTTTTAAGGGAAAGTCTCACTGTCTAAGATTTCACCGTAGCAGCAGAGAACTCGAACTTTTAACTCCGGCAGTCAGCAGAATAAACCTAGATAAAAACCAAAAGAACTGCGGATGCTATAAATCAGGAACAAAAACAAAGTTGCTGGAAAAGCTCAGCAGGTCT